AATAATTTTGTTGCAAAGCCAACGATGGAGATCGCACAGTCTTGAGAATAGATGCTTCATTCCATTTAACTACTGAAGTCTCCGCTTGTGCCATACTGTACAAAGTCTCCGCTGTGCCAAAACCGTGGTACAATGTCCTTTACTAATGTCATATCTTTAAGCCTAATAGCCAAATTCCGTCTAGTGACTCCAATATAGTCCTTCATAATTCCTAGCTGTTGGTTTTCAAAGGGAATTTTTTTTTTTATACACGCCCGCTGTTTCTTCTTTCTTAAGCTTGTCCTTATCATTTCTGAGAATACTGTATAAATTAGGACCTCTTTTGTAAACAATTTTGGAGCTTTTTTTGTCTGAAACTTGCTTCATGATGTCCCTGAAGTTTTTATTATACGTGAATTTGGTGATCTTAAATTGATCTGTTCTGGTTATGGAAGAGGCAAGAGGTTAAAAACCGGAACAGATCAATTTAAGATCACCAAATTCACGTATAATAAAAACTTCAGGGACATCATGAAGCAAGTTTCAGACAAAAAAACGCTCCAAAATTGTTTACAAAAGAGGTCCTAATTTATACAGTATTCTCAGAAACGATAAGGACAAGCTTAAGAAAGAAGAAACAGCGGGCGTGTATAAAAAAAAAAATTCCCTTTGAAAACCAACAGCTAGGAATTATGAAGGACTATATTGGAGTCACTAGACGGAATTTGGCTATTAGGCTTAAAGATATGACATTAGTAAAGGACATTGTACCACGGTTTTGGCACAGCGGAGACTTTGTACAGTATGGCACAAGCGGAGACTTCAGTAGTTAAATGGAATGAAGCATCTACTCTCAAGACTGTGCGATCCCCATCGTTGGCTTTGCAACATGAAAAAATTGAAATTTATAAGAGTAAATTAAGGAACGGCTGTATCAATGCAAGGGATGCTGATAGTTTAGCTTCGGCATGGAAGTTCTTTGTAAAAGAAAAGTTAAAACACACAAATTCTTAGTTCCTATCTGCCCTTTATAAAATGTGATGCTTTTTGGTTTATATTTTTATGAATTTAATTCTTTTGTGCATTTAATCTTTTAGGTTTATCTTTATTTCTGTTTTTTTATATTGCCTTATTTTATTATTTATATTAATATGGCTTCAATCTATTTATTATAGTTATTTTGTATATTGATTGGCTAATTTATTTTACGTTTTAATTTTGAATTTGTAATGTTCGAAAGTTCCATTTTAACACAATTTTCAAATTGGTTTGATAGCCTTCACCTGATGATGGCCTATTCCATTAGGCTGAAAATGTTTGTGATTTAATAAATATTCTCAGCATTATAAGGTGTTAAATGTTTTATTGAATGTTTTAGTATTTAATAATATTCCTGTTTTATGCCAGGGACAATTTTGTGTCAAAATGTTGATGTTTTTAATCAAATAATTAATTAGTTTTTATGTTTTAAGTGTAGGCTCAAAAACCGGGTTTTTTACTTGGGAACACCCGGTTTTCAAATTATACAAATTTCTTCAAAAAGCAACAAACCCTACTGTTCATTAACAAAATTGTTAGTACAAGTTCAGATTAATGACAGTGCACTGTGTTTACATTTATAGATATTTATTCAACTGAATAATTAAGAATTTTGTTGGGCTGCAATTTTCAAAAACAGTAGACCCGTAAATTCCATAATTATAAATTAATTAATTAATTTAAATAATAATTTAGAATTACTGGAAGGAAAGAATCGGCCCACTGTAAATTCCCACTGATATCTGTCTATCTGTCCATCCTTAAATTATCTAAGAACAGAGTTAGATGAAAGTTGAAATCAGATATGGAAAGTTTAGAGACAGGAGGCCCTGTTTATGTATGGACCAGAAGTCGTTATTTTAATTCAAAAATTTTCTCCTAAATGGAGTTAGATTGATGACTGGCATGACTCCACTGTTAACAGGAAAAGTATGATGTACTGTACAGGGGAAAGACACTACTAAAATTAAGAGCATTATGATGTCACAATAAATAATTACTCATTTATTTATCTATTTTTACAATGTATGATAAGTAAGATTGTTGTTGATTTTTTTTCTTAAAAGTATCAATAATGTATATTTATTATTATTCTAATATTATTATCTAATTATTTTTTAATATAAACTTTATAATGAAATATATTGTATATTTTAACGCTATAACCTCTGAATAAAAATTAATGTTGTTCAACTAAAATTTATGAACAAATTGTACACTTAAATAATATAAATGTTTTTTCCAGATGTTTTACGATCAGGAATAGGCGCATTAGTTTGGGCTGCTGCATTACTTGCTTGGATTGTAGTTTTTCAAGTCAATAGAGCAGATTGGGGTGAAACAGCTGATAAAATATCTTTTATTATTCCAACTGGAATACCTTGATATCTTTAAGACTTTAAATTAAATTGTAAAGTTCCTTGAAAATATCATAAATGTATGTTTGTAAATTTGTATAGATTTTAATATAATTTGAATTTTAAATAATTTTTGAATTATGAATTGATATAAAAAATTAAAAACCACAGAAATTTATATAATAATTTTACTATTTTGTTAAATAACAATACATGATAAATTTAGCAGTATTTGTATTTAATTAATTTTTGCATACATTTATTCATATAAAATAAGTGTTTAGTGAAGTAAGTTAATGAAAAGAAATACATTCAGTTATTATATAAATTGCAAAAGAAATAAAAGAAACTTTTAATTAAAAACAAAGTATTTCATTTTTATTTATTTATTTTTTTTTTACAAGAAAATGTTATAATTTTAATTGTGTTGGGATTGTCACCTGTGGACATTTTAGACTATTTTACATATTTGTGCAGAGCTGTAGCCTACAAAGAAAGGTCATCTCTGCAGTGAAGAATGGTTGTTCCAGGTGATTGGACATGGCAAGCAAGCAAGATACGACTAGTATTTGTAATGAAATTTTACTTTATTAAATTATTTCATTTTTAAATTATATTATTTTAGTACTTTACTTAAAGAGTACAAGAGCTGTCTGTCATTTAGCGGCAGACTTAGCCCTGTAAGAAATGGAAGGAAGAGGAAAGGAATGAGAGACCAAGTGTGAAATGAAGGAAAATAGGAAAGTGTGAAAGAAGATATGAGAGCTTATGGCAATTGCTTCAGTAGTTGCTAGAGTACAAGATACTATACAAAATTACAAAACAAGGTTACAGTGTAAATCAAACATAAATATACAAACAAAGTGCCTTTCTGGCAATGATGAATGCATAAATTTACATAGTTGAGTACATTGGAGACTGAATGAAGGTATAACATCTAATAAAAGTGGGATGACAAAAGACCAGTGAGCCACCAAAAACAACTTTGCTGATGCAGTCAATGAGCTGATGTTGCCGCAGCCGTTGTATTTGTTATCATTATTGATGTTGCTAATGCTGTTGCTGTTGTTACTGATGACGTTGCTGCCGCTGTTGTTGTTGCAGCTTGGTGCTGTTGATTAGTTGTAGCTGAGAACAGTCCACAGTTCTTGGTGAAAGTTTCGAAGACGTGGTAAGTTTCCTTAGAAGAACAGAAGAAATCTAGGCTGGGTGGCCAGTTTTGGCCATTTTGAATGGTGAGACAGTACAGCAGCTGGCGGGTGGCATCGTGTTTTGGGCAGTCCAGGAGAGCATGATAAATATCACCCACAGATTGACAGTCGCAGTCACAAGTAGCATTGTCCCTTACTTTGAATCTGCTGAGGTAACTCTGTAGGTTGCCGTGGCCGGTGAAGCATTGCATCGTAATATAGTTAATGTTTATATAGGTTAGGTGTTGCCTTTTTTTAATGGAAGGGAAGAAGTGATAAGTGACTCTGCCAGTGTTGGAGGTTTACCAAACTCTTTGCCAGATGTTCAGGATTTTGTTATTAATGTGTCTGTTGATATTCGTGACAGGGATCCTATTGTAGGCATAGTATATCTCCAGGGAGGCAGCTCTTTTGGCTAGCGTGTCCGCTTCTTTGTTACCCTCAACACCGGAGTGGCCTGGAGTCCAATTAAACATAAGGGCTCTTCGGTTGTTTAGATTATTGGCTAGTTGTTCCTTTTATTCCTATTTCAGTTCTTTTGCCGCTATTATTAAGTATGTTCAGCACATATCTGCTGTCATTATTAAAGTTAATATTGCCCCTATACTTCTTTTGATTAGTTGTTACAGTGATTAAGGCTCTGAGCATAGCCCAGAGCTCTGCCTGGTTATTTGAACAGTGACAGTGTAGTTTATAATATTCTTGATGCTCGATCTGGTTATTATTACCGTTATATGTTACAAAAGCGGGTCCTGTCCTGTCCTGTCCTGTTCTGTTCTTGCTCTTTGAGCCATCTGTGTAAATATTCCAGTCCCTTTGTTACTAAAATTGTTGCCATGAATATTTATTTGGAGCTTCCCAATTTCAGCTGGATGCTGATCGGTACCCACTCCAGTAATGTATTTATCAATGCTGTGATCCTTTATCACCTGGAATAAGTCCTGGCTGTCAGGTGGGTAATTCTCTTCCCCCCCTGTGCGGTGTCTATCCTCCTCAATTGTTACATTACTCATGTTGTTGATGAATTTCCACTTCCAGAGGATGCTTTTAATTTTCAAATTTATAGATGTGATGTTTGCCAACACTAGCAGTGCATCAGTAGGCATTGTGCGGTAAGCACGACATACCCTGATGGCCATTCCTCTTTGGATAGAAAGTAGTTTCCTTTTTATATGAATAAGATGAACTTTCTCACTCCATATCTGGGCAGCGTAAGTGAGTGCTGGTTCAATTACACCTTTGTAGATAATCCTGATATGTGTACTGCTCAGACCCCATGTGTTATGGGTGATGTGGCGGATTTGATTAATGCGCTGGTGCATTTTTTTTACAGATCTCTTCTATGTGATATTTCCAGCTGAAGGTACTTCAGGTGAGAGGTGACTTTTATTCTTTCCTTATTGATGTATAGGCATAATGGCCGTTGGAGTTGCCTTCTATTTGCCTTCCTGGTGCAAACCAGGGCCTCACATTTGTTATAATTGATAGGAAGTTTATTGGTCTTGCTCCAGTCAGATTTTCTGTAGGGTTTCGTTTGCATTTCTTTGTAACTCACCACTATTCCAGTACTTAAGAAGAAGGAGTGTGTCATCAGCAAAGCCTTGTATTCTAGTAGTATTGTCATCTTTGTTAATAACATTTAGTAAGCTGTTGTAAACAAGGTTCCACATGCCAGGTCCGCAGCATGATCTGTGTGGGTAGCCACAATTTATCTCTTTAACCACCCTAATTATTTTAGTACTACAATAAAGTTTTATCTGGATATTGACATCTTTACAGATACTCATCAACTAAACTAAATGATTGCCATAATTGGGCTGTTTTTTGCTACAGTTAATAATTAGAAATTAAGTAATTTGGTACTAGAGGTGGACATTAGGTGCCATCTCTTATTAAGTTATAATTATTAATTTCAAATAAGAGATGGAGCCTAATGTCCACCTCTAGTACCAAATTACTTAATTTCTAATTATTAACTGTAGCAAAAAATAACTCGATCAAATATGGTGATTGTTTGGTTTAGTATAGTATTAATACATCTGGTTTTGGGATGTTTATATATATAGATACTCATCAACTTCACTTATATATAAAATAATGCTATAGAAAATTATACTATGTTTTAATAAACAATATTTGTAAGATGTTTTTCTAACTATATACTTTTTAAATGCTCCAAAGGTAATGAATTCAAAGTTCTCTAAACTTGGTAAATAGAAAAATTAGTTTTGAAGTAAAAGTTCTTTGAATTTTCTACTATATACATAAATTAGAATTAACTGAAAGAATGTAATGTATTTAAATTTACTGTTTGTAATGTATTTATTTATTTTCAATATTATAAAAAAGTTTACAAATATAATTCTTTTTTAAATCAAAATACATGTTTATTTACTCATATTTAAAAAAAAAAGATTTTTTACATAACTTTCTTTCTATGTTATATTACTTCTCTTTCATTGACAGAATTATTATTATTATTATTATTATTGTCCAGTAAATTTTCATATTTGTAAATTAAGGCATAGTGTCTTCCTTTCCCTTAAATCAAAATATTGAGAGATGAGAATAATTTTTCAGAAATAAACAGCATAGGTACAGCACAACAGTATTGATACAACAAATACAATATTTGGAATATTGAAAGTTGCAAAAATTTTAACAAAAACTTTTAACTGAATTTATTAGTATGAAATGCTTTTGTTTGTAGTAATATTTTGTTTGCTAAATGTATTTTATTTATTTATTTTTAAGATTCATGCACATTTTAAAGATAGTCTTTATAAAAGACTCAATTGGATATGTCCAATAATTTAGTAACTTACTGCATGCAGACAGTGAAATTTGGTCAAGTAATTTAATAAAATGATTTAGAGTAATAAATCCATTCAATTCTATTTTATCTGGTCAAATAGTGGCTCTTTCATTGTTGTTACATTAGGTCAAGTTCATTAGACAACACTCTTAGAGGACTAAAATACTTAGAAGTGCAATGACTATTCCAACAATAATTACTAATGAAAATATTGATACAATAAACACTGTCATTGAAGTTGTAGACACAGATTTAATTATACACTCACTTTTATTATTTCACAAAATGCCTAGATGTTCTCTTCGTGTATTTATTTTACACCTTAAATGTTTAAAATAAATAAATAAATACATCAAAAGAGTTGGAAATACTTTACTAGAGTTATGTTAAATCTCAGCTGCTATCTCAATAGTTCCCAGCTAGAACTTTATTTGTACAATTTTATACTGACATTTAAATAATGAATGGAATTGCATCCCACTAATTTAGTTTAAATATTTTTGTAATCAGATGCATATTAGAAATACAAGTTAAACATTTTCTGCCAAAAAGTTCTGTTAACAAGGTTGAAGCAGCTAAAATACAAGGTACAATTCAGTTACTCTTTGTCAGAAAAGTTCCAGGACAAAGCTTGTAAAAAGTAGAAAATTGTAATTGAAAATTGTAATCATTACTTGGTAATTACAATTTTCTATTTTTTTTACAAGCTTTGTCCTGGAACTTTTCTGATAAAAGCTGTAAATATTCTTTAGTCTAGCCATGTTTGAAAACTTAATTCATTGACCAAAATTGTTCAGCTATTGTTTTGGAGAGCAATCAAAACACAATACGGCAATATCTGTCTAATACTGTTCTGGCACATTATAGACATAAAAGTGCTGTGAGAACATGTATAAAGTCATCAACACAGTTTGGCATACCTGAGAATGTCTAAGCTGTTTGTGGATAAATTGGTTGGGATTATGTATGTAGAGAAGAATGTGTACACTCCCTCCTAACAGGAGTTGATTCTCTAATGATGCTTATTGTAGTATTTATGGTCTCAGTTAAAATGAATACAGTTGTGATGAGATGACTCAGTTGCTCAATAATAAAAGTTCTTTTTCCAGCTGAGATAATGTTCGTCAGCTAACAATGTTATTTTTCTTTGAGATGCAAGTACAAAGAAAGCACTTAATAGTATTACTGGTCAGATAAAATGGATAATTACTGGAACTCTAGTCCCTATTGGGGTACAAAATTTGCAAGGTCTAGAGTAT